ATGAAGTGATTGAGTGCGCGAAGCGACATCAAAACACTTTGGAAAACGAATCATTCGACTCTGGAAGTTCCTCATGTTACACTACTCTCCACCCAAAAAAAAAACAAAAGGTTTGTACACTGTGAGATTTGAACTCACGCTTCCGAAGAAATTAGTGCCTTAAACTAACGCCTTAGACCAACTCGGCCAAGTGTACTGATGATTTCAGATATGAATTTGCACTAGTTTTATGTGTAAAAATCGCGATTTTCTGAATCACTTTTTAAGATGCCCTGATCTTTCTCATCAACTAGTGTAGAACACCAGAAAGGATCATTGTTTAGAAATTAGAGAGTTTGTAAAGGCACTACTCCTGAGAATGCAGAACATCTTCACCGACCTGCCCCTCTAAATCGGCAATTGTCCAAACTTTCAATCTGATTGGACGAACAATGAAATCAGATTTGAAGGCCAATCCCCATCCCCCTTCAAACGTCGCAGTGACTCGTCGATTGGTATTTTGATTGAATTGACCCAGAAGGATGGATAATTCGTACGGAATTTGTATCTTCCACAGACAAGACACGGCAATGAGAGATGAGCGGTCTCTTGACAAGACTCATAGGGTGGCACTTCTTCACGGTGAACTTGTACTCATTGCTGGAGAGCGGAATGAGGGAAACTAGCTGCAACAGCCAGAGTGTATTCTTGGCGAGTCTTCATTGTAGTTACTGACTTTGAGCATATTATGATAAGGCAGTTCTTCTTCTTCCATTCATTCAATCATTCAATCATTCGATTATTCCAAGATACATACATATAAATTAATAATGACTCAATCAATCATATTAGTAACACTACTTATAGTTCTTGCTACATCAATAATAACAGTTAGTACGGATCATTGTCAAGTCGTTTAGGCGACCTAAAATTATTAATCCATACCCAATCATTCACTCATTAATAAAGAATGCCAGTCTGATCCATTCCAATTGCCTAATAATATTGTGGAGAGTATGAAGAACCTTAATGCCAATATATCAGAGTCATCCACTGTTCGTATCGACAAGTACAACACCCAGATCAATTTGACCCCAAGTGGACGTCCAGTCAACCATAACTACTCTGATGTAACATGCCAATGTGTTGAATCTTCAATGCATTGTACCAGACCGACAAAGCTCATTGATATAATCATCCAGATGCCATTCTTGACCATGAGTTGCATCCCATCCAACAACACTGATCCATGTATCACCGGTACCTGCACCCCGGGTGTCGGATGCCAGACTGTCAACACCACCTGTAATGACTTTAATGCCTGCACCATCGACTCTTGTGACTCGTTGGCAGGAGGATGCCAACATCAAACCGTTAGCTGTGATGATGGTGACTCATGTACCCTGGACACGTGCGACCAGACTACAGGCGGCTGCGCCCACACTGCCATCTCGTGTGATGATCACAATGCTTGCACTGTGGACTATTGTACAAGATATGATGGATGTCAACATGTCCAAGACAACTGCACCAGCCCAGACCCATGCCGCATTGCGTCGTGTGACCCGATCCAAGGTTGTGAGCTGAGCCCAGTTGAGTGTGACGACCACGATGCTTGCACTGAAGACGAATGCTGGTCATTTGATGGAAAATGTCATTCCTACCAGATCAACTGCACCAGTCCCGACCCTTGCCAGATTGCCTCTTGTGATCCAGTGCATGGATGTATGTTGACACCTGTCGACTGTGACGATGGCAATGCGTGTACAAGCGATGAGTGCTCCTCCATTGATGGTGGAGCATGTAGATTCACTGCAATCAACTGCACCAGTCCAGACCCATGCCACATTGCCACATGTGATCCACACCAAGGATGTCAATTGACCGAAGTCCATTGTCCATTCATCGACATCTGTCACGTTGGACTATGCAACATTGAAACCGGACATTGTGATTCCACACCAATCGTCTGTCCATCAGGACACAAGTGTCATCACAAGAAGGGATGTTTCAAAGAACCAAAGAACAATTATTAATTAAACATCATAGTGATACTATCGTGATATTAATATAACATTGACGAGATTGATTGATTGATTGATTGAATTGTTAACACCTAATTCATATGTTTGGCTTGATTGACTATTCTTTAAAATCCAAGATAAGCTGAATAATATAGGTGGATAGATAGAAGGGTAACCGATTCGAATATAGATTGACAACATATAATAAATATGTGTACAACTAACACACAAGTTGGTGATGATTCATCAAGTCGATGAGTCATTGTGCACAACAACAAATATAAATGGTCCTCTTTGTCAAAGTGTCAAAACACACATCAATTTCATTTCAAACAAAATAATTTCGTTCAATTCCAAGTTCTCACAATTAATTTACCAACTTCTCGACAAGTTGTCAGTTCAAAACACAATCCCTCATGACAGACGAGGCTTATAATCATTACCCTCACGTCGACACACAACACCAATATTATCACCAACATCAACAACACTATAACGATAACAACAACAATAATAACAATACCAATACTCATAATCAACAACATACACAAGACGACGAACAAAGAAGAATTAGAAGAATGAGAGGCAAGCGTCTTTGTAGACTTATTGTCATCCCAATCTTTTTGATTGTAATATTCTGTGCATTGACTAGAAGCAGTGGCACCCAGAGCAGAGGCGGCGCATCACACAGCAATGCCATACTCGTTTCAGATATCAAGGCATTGACTTTGAATGCAGATCGTTGGACTAAATCATCCCGTGTATCGTCCATCCCACAACTCGAATGCATTGGTGGCAGCGCCAGCCATCTATACAACTTGCGTCCCAAGGTCGTACAATGCACCAACAAAGGATCGGATGGTTCCGATGTACAATGGGAGTGCAAGGCATCCCTCGACTCTACAGTGCGATTCGGCAAGCTCGATGTCTCATGTGAAGGGTATGTTATGTTGCCTTCCCTCGTCCACTCATTCAATCAATCATTCATTAACATACTCATTCAATCAAATCTAGATTTGGCTATGCAGGCGACCCTTACGTATTGAAGGGCTCATGTGGATTGCGTTATGAACTCGAGTACACTAGCCCAGAGAGCAGGAATCAACACTATCAGAATGAATCATCATCGTCATCTGGCTCGACTATAATCGTCTGGATACTCATTATTGGATTCGTCATGTTCATCTTCTGGCCATCAAACAACAACACACATGGTGGAGCGCATCGTGGCGCATCAGGACCTCATGGACCAGGCTATCCACCCGGCGCCGGCCCATATGGTGGCCCAGGTGGTTACTATCCCGGCTCGGCACCGGGCACCTACCCAGCACCTGGAGTGTACCCTGGCGACCCATACTATGGACCACAATGCCAACCTGGAGGCTGGAGACCTGGCTTCTGGTCTGGCGCCGGTCTGGGCTATCTATTCGGACGTCAAAACAGGAACCACTACAACTATGGCCATCACTATCAACCATCTTACGGTGGAGGAGGATGGAACTCTGGCGGCTCATCATATCGATCATCATCGTCCTCAGGCAGTGGCGTGTCCACTTCCTCAACTGGCTATGCCAGTACCTCATCAAGATGAGTTGATTGATTGATCGTGTCTTGCGGTGACATGTATAGAATAAATAACCAAGGTTGACTCAACCAATATGTATGAATGAAGATGTCATGATTGAGTTGGGGAGTTGGGGAGTTTATTGGGAGTTGGGGAGTGGATACATCTTTAGAGTAAGCCTCGTTCTGTAAGGAGTGTCTGCCGGGTGGGGCGAGGACATCCTAATTGCATTGTTCTACTTGTGCGACCAAAGGTGGCCGTACTCGTCTGGGATGAGCTCCGGTCATATCCTGACCTTCTTTGCTTGTATGACGAGCCTTTCCAGATGGGCTGGGCGGGCGTTGGTACGGCGACATAACCATTGCGGTCGATACTTTCTATCCTTGGGTCCGAGGAATTTCCCCGAAGCAGGCTGCTGCGGTCCTTCTGCCGGGTGGCGGAGGGTGCGTCAGTTTCTTGATTGGCGCCAGTCTATGACTGACTATCGTTTAAGAGCGATCCATTTGTATGCTTCGATTGCAATTCTTGAGATGTAACAAATGTAAAATGAACTTGATCATACTCTCTAAGTACACTGTGTCTCGCACAGGAGTCAGTGAGCGAGTGTGATTGCTCATCAAATAAAATAAAATAAGTTGAAAATGATATGATGAACGTTACTTGGTGTGATGGGAAGTTTGATTGGGTGTGAGCTTCAGGAAGTGGGAGAGCTCAAGAGGGCGAAGGGTCGTCAAGATGTAGCAATCTCCATAGAGATACATCATAATCAAATGGATGAGCACACTGATAATATGGGTGACAGCATGTCTACAGAATTTCCACAACATCAACAACAACAGCAGCATGAAGCGGTGGTGATGATGATGATGGACCTACCTTTGATCGTACAATTGAAGATCCAGTTATATTGTTTGAATGACCAATCGACCAATGTTGAATGGAGATACTCTTTAAACTTGGTGTCATCACATTGGTTCTTCAACTTTGCAAATAATTGGTACAATGGATTGAGCTTCACACCAAACACGGTGATCAATGGCCGCCGTGGAGACATACGCAGCACCATAGATCAATTGATAGACATACATGTGGTCAACCCATTATACGAGCTGTCCACCTACGCCAAGGATGTGGCCATGTTCGAGACAAACTTCCTGAAGCTGGCCACCAGCGACAAGAGGAACCACTTGTTCCGCAACCTGAGGTCGCTGAGCTTGGTCCCGAGCTACGGACGATTTCCCGCCCAGCTCTCGCTGGCCAACATTCTCTCGCCAGTCGCATCCACATTGACCGAGATACACTTGCTCTTCCCTGAAGAGTCGGCGATTGATCAAGCATTCTACACGTCACTGTTGGCCCACCACCAGGCCCTGACAACTCTACACGTGTTCCTTCGTACGGCGGACGATGGCAGCGAGCGATACGCACACTGGCTCGACTACATATCAAAGGCAGAGGGTCTGCAGAGCATAGGCTTTGGCATAAAATGCCGGGCACTGGTGCCCTCGGGTCGGCTCGCAGACATCATCCTCCAAGACAACCTGCGCACACAGCTTACCGGTGTGTCGATTGGTACACTGCGCCACACAGACTGCACATTGGTGATTGATCGCGAGTTGCTCACCTCGCTCAGACAACTACCCAAACTGACGCGACTTGAGTTTGGCAAACACTGCGACCTGCCAGAACTGTGCGACCTGCTCAACAAACATCCAACATTGACCAGTTTCACAATGCAGGTGATCACCGATCCCAACTTGATCAAGTCGCTCAACACCACCAAGGTCACCAAGATCGAGTCCAACGAACTTGATTACAAGTCACTCACACTTGCCTTGGAGCATGCAATGCTGGCACACGATGATTCGGACAATGCACCGCTGCCCACCACTCTAAAAGTGCTCAACATGCAGCATTACTTCCAAGACTTTGGACTGTCTTGGACGCCGATGCTCAAGGACTTTGATGGATCAGCAGAGGGCGACGGAAAGGAGCCTGTGCCCCACCTCAAGTCACTAAGCGAGTTGACGCTGGTGCTCGTGTCAGTGTTGGACAAAGGGCAAAAGATGTTGGAGACGATCGACCACTTGGTAAAGGGCTTGCCAGCGCTGCGAGTGTTGAACATCCACTCGATGCTGGCGCTGACCTACACTCTAAGGTCGTTGTTGGATGAGAAGATGGCGAGCTGGCCGCATTTGGACAAGCTGGTGCTGGTGATCGAGGATGACTTTGACTATGGTCAAGTGTACACATACTATCAACACGACTACAACACACCTGAAGTATATCGGATGCCACTGACATTGACAGAGTCGGGTGATGACGACAATGACAACAACGACGACGAAGGCGAAGAAGAGTATGAGTTTGACTTTATATGATGGCGAGGAGTTTTGATCATCTCAACATTTGCCAACAACACGACAATGAATGGAAGTTGGAATGACAACAACAACATACACACATTGGTTTTCGGGCGAAAGAAATCTTCGTCATATGATTTATCTGATTCAAAGTGTGGGTGTGTGCGAGTGTGAGTGATTGATCCAACAACTTTCGTATCTTTGCTTGAGTGTTTCAGAGTGGGTGATCAACGTTTGATCAATGGGGTGTGTGGATCTGTTGAGGACGATACGATCGTATCTTGATGGTAATCCACATACCACACACACATCTCACAGATAGAACATTCATTCATCCATTCATTCCCTTCATTCATTCATTCATTCATACATACATTCACTTCATTCATTCACTTCATTCATACATATGATCATATCTGATATGTTCCTACTGTAATAAGTTCATACATATCCCAACTCGATATATCAATATATACATATATTCAATCAATCAAGCAATCAAACGGCCAGGCCATATTATAATAATATGGCCTCATCAATCTATGTCAACAATAATAATAATGGCATATACTTACCGCCAACGCCAACGCCAACACCATCAACTCCACATATACATGGCAATACATCAACTACAACAACATCAATAGGTGCCACTGCTGCATTGCCAGCGGCATCAACATCAACAACATATCAGATACATGGTAGACCACAACAACAAATGCCACTTGATCAAATGCCTGGCACCCATCAATTCGCCATCCATCAGACACAGCTCAGCAGCAATGACTCTCAACCATCATCATCATCTCCACTACTCCAACATCATCATCACCACCATCATCATCATCAACACCAACAAGTATTATCACATGATCATGATCATGACCATGACCATGACCATCATCATCATCACTACATCAACGAACAACATCAAATAACCAATACCAATGAATATGATCAAGATATATCTGGCAATATGAGTACATACTCAGCAGACATGATAGACAATGTTGGATATACCACAGCCATTGGCGACAGGATCGATAATCAGGACAGCTTCTTCATTAACCAAATAGATGGAAAGGATATATTAATGCTTGGCGTATTCGATGGGTATGTTTGATTGATCGAGATTGGTGGTCCACTGGATTGATTGATTGATTGAACTGACACCCTACCCTTTGGAACCATTCCAATACCAAATCCAAAGACATGGTAACCTTGGCGATCAAGCCTCAGTAATTGCCAATGAGATAATCAATCAACATTTGACAAATAGTTTCGATACAGACACTCCATGTATGTACATCCATCGATCGTCTACTCGCGCAATCAATCACCACTCACTCACTCAATCAATCAATCAATCAATCAATCAAGTGGACGAATCTATAATGGAGTCATTTTCACAGGCCAATCATACATTGATTGAGGAAGGACAGAGACAGGGCTTTGATAATGGTACGACGGCAACGGTGGCCATTGTTGAGAAGGATCGTTTGACAGTTGGATGGGTCGGAGACTCTGGTGCAGTGCTATGTCGCTATGATTCATATCGTCAGGCCTACCACTGCATGGCGTTGACATCAGATCATCGTCCAGAGAACAAGGCCGAACGTGCACGTATTGAAGCTGGAAATGGACGTGTTGTCAACCGATACAGTGTATGGAGACTGGTGCCCAGCGAGCAAGACTACACCGACGCCGACATTGTCCGCGGTCGACTGGCACTCAACATGAGCCGATCACTAGGACATTATATACTGAGTCAGTACGGGCTGTCTGCGCGACCCGACATCAACACGGTAAACATCTATCCCAACGACATATTGATCGTTGCAAGTGATGGACTGTGGAATGCCATGGACCTCTGTAAAGTAGAATCAATCCTGTCCAAGCTTCACAACGCCTCACTTCTCCAACTACGCAACAGCAACGATGGTGCCAACGATGGTGGCATGTCCTACGAGTCAATCAATACCCAAACTATAACTGAACATTTGGTATGTCTTCATCCTCACATTCGATCATTCATTCATTCGATCAATCATTCATTCATACTAACATGAACATCATCATCAATGTTTAGTCAAGGGAAGCACAAAGGATATGTGCCAAGGACAATGTAGAGTGTGACAACGTTACGATATGTTGTTACCAACACCTGTAAATACAAATATGACTACATTGTAACTTTAACTTTATCTTTATCTTTGTCAATTGAGTGGAGCTCGACAACCTTGCAAAGGAAGTGAGTTCATGCCTTTAGGTGACTCAATTCGCAAAGGGGTCACCCTTCATTGAATCGCGAAAACTGAAGAACTTCTTTGCAAAGTTCGTGACTGTCACTGCTGGCACATCTTGTTTGAATCATCCAATTCCCCCTTGTTATTGTTATCATTATTATTATTATGTATAACTTGTATTTATAATTATCTCATTATCTCTTAATATATATAACATTAACAACAGTAATAAACAACAGTAACATAACAAACATAAACAGAAATGATGAATAACAATATAAATGATAAGATAAATACAATTACAACATACTTTAGACATGTATTATACAGAGATCCAGGTCGTGTAAGGAATGACTTGGCAGATGTATTCAGATTCTTCCCAAACTTGATGCCTGGTATTGGCAACTCTTGTATGTTATCTTGTTCATTGAATGAATGAATGAATGAGCGTCTAACATCTATCTCATTATTACGTAGATCGAAATAATCAACCAATTACATTGATGTATATGTCTGGTACTATACCAATTGTATATCAACAGGTCACTTATCATCTACCGGTTGTGGTTTGGATACCAGAGAGCTATCCATTCGCTCCACCATCGATATATTTGGAACCGACACCTGATATGGTAGTTGTAACAGGTCATCCTCAGGTGGGCGAGTCGGGTCTATGTCATCATCAGTACATGTCACAGTGGAATTGGTCATCGACTGTTTCACAATGTATCAAATTCCTTTGTGATACATTCAGTTATTATCCACCTCTCACATCCAAACAACAGCAACAACAGCAACAACAGCAACAGCAACAGCAACAACAACTGAAACAACAATCACCAACACACACTCAAGCAGGTGGTGGAGGAGGAAGTGGAGGAATACCTATGACTGGACCTCCAGCATACGGAACAAGACAGAGCACCAATTGGGACGTCCCACCACCTACATACGCCGAGTCCATCTCTCAGGCATCACCAAAGAACAGCTCACCATTGAGCACGTCACCAGTCAACGCACAGTTGCTCGCAGCACAGGCCGAGCAACAAAAGAAGCAACAACAGGAGCAGCAGCAGAGACAGTTGGAGCAGCAGCAGAAGCAGCAGGAGTTGTTGGAGCAGCAGCAGAAGCAGAAGCAGGAGCAGCAGCTGGCGGCAAAGGAGAAGGCTGAGCGAGACAGGGCGTTGGAGGAGTGTGTCGAGAAGCTGCAGATCATGCTGTCACTCTACTACGAGACGACCACAAAGGACATAGAGGTGGCACTCAACGAGAACGAAACCCTGAGCGACCAGACGAACAAGCTGAGCCAGGACATTGAGATACACTCGGACGACCTCAAGTACTATGGCTCTTTGATTGAGAGCACCAAGCAAAAGGTCGAGCAGTTGGACGAGTGGATCAAGGAGAACGACAAGAGCGAGAATGACATTGATATTGACGAACACTGCTCGCCCAAGGAGCCCCTATCGCGACAGCTTCTCTCGCTGGTCTCTGAGGACCAGACGATCGAGGACGCGCTCTACTATCTTGACAAGGCGCTGCACACCAACCGCATCACACTGGAAGAGTACTTGAAGAACATTCGATCACTGAGTCGCGAGCAGTTCATGATTCGCGCCACCATTAAGAAGATTCACCAACAGTTGCAGTTGGCCTACGATCAACATGTACAGCAACAGCAGCAATTGCACTATCATAATCAACAACATCTCCAACAGCAACAACAACAGCAGCAACAGCAACATCAAGTGATGCAACACCAACAAGTGCAGCATCAGCATCAACAGCAACAGCAACCTGCGCAACTCTACCCATCTTATATTTAATAACATATAAGGATGTCCTTGTATTTCCAGCTAGCTCAGCCTATTATTATATTCACAATGGTTGTTGTCTTTATTACTCGCATGCGTGATGAGATGTATGTATCGTATCAATGTTGTTGGACTGTTGCTGCCTGGATCGTGGTGGACGGTGTAGCCGCAGTCACTGACGGAGAGGTCTGGAGTTGTAGTGGCGGTTGAGATTGTGGTGGAGGCTGCGAGGAGTTCGCTGCGCCAGTGAGTGAAGGAGGAGTGGAGTTGTTCATTCCATTTGGTAACAGAGGTGTCGAATGTACATTGGGGAATGCTCCACCAGGTTGTTGTTGTTGTTGTTGTTGTAGTTGTAGTTGATTGGCTTGTTGTTGTTTTTGTTGTTGTTGTTGCAGTAGTAGTTGTTGTTCTTGCATTCTAGCTTGATTGCGTAATTGAATATACTCGGTCCAGTCGCGTAGCAACAGTCTGTCGAGCACGATGAACTCATCACGATAGCCAGACGACTCCTTGATCTGCTTCTCCGAGAATTTGTGTATCGATTGGATGAACTTGTTGACGTTGGCCAATGTCTCTGCCCGCAGCAACTTGCACTTCTCCTCTGACACCATGTTCTGTTCAATCGTCGAGAACACCTGGAAGCATCCCAATCGTTGCTTAACATCATCCATCGACTGGAATGATGTTTTGTAGTCTGGATCAGTGGCCATCTTTCTCTCATTCAATGCCTCTGTGTATCTTTGGTTAGGGGAGGTCAGTAAACTGATCAATGATCATGCTCATGTCACTAACCAAAACTTACTTCTTTTTAAGTAACTCGCTTTCCTTATCCTTCTTGTTATCAGTCTTTCTCTTCTTCTTTGAGCTCTCCTCAGGTGCGCTTGTCGAATGTGGCTGCTGATGAGTCTGTGGCGGTGGTAGTTGTGGCTGCTGTTGCTGAGGCGGCAGATGAGGATGCTGAAGCTGTGGTGGAGGTTGAGCAAACATTGGCTGCATCGGCATTGATGTTGGCTGCATGGGGAATGGCATTGGCGCGGTGCCCGGTGGCACCATCTGGTAGCCACCGCCCATTGGTATCATCTGAGGGGGCTTGGCCATCATTGTCTGTGGCTGAAGTGGTTGTTGCTGTTGCTGAAGTGGAAGCTGTTGCTGTGGATATGTCTTGGCTTGATGGATCATCGGTTGTGGCTGCTGCTGCTGCTGAATAACGCCTCCTGCCATCGTGGCTGGAGTCTGGAAGGCGGGTGGTTGTTGGACTACATTGTTGTTGCCCTGTGTCAACGAAGAGGGCAGAGGCAGGGCAGAGGGTGCCTGTGCGAAAGTTCTGTTGTTTTGTTGTTGTTGTTGTAGTTGATGTTGTTGCTGTTGCTGCAGTTGATGTTGTTGCTGGAACTGTGGTGGGATCTGAGGTTGACCCTGCTGCATGCCCTGTTGCATGCCTTGTTGCAGACCCTGTTGCAGCTGACCCGGTTGCAGTGATTGTTGCATCTGCGGATTGATCTGTCCAACGCCAGGCTGTTGTTGTTGTTGTTGTTGTTGTTGCAACTGAATTTGCTGTTGCTGCGTCGTATATATCTGTTGGATGTGTTGGGCGATCTGTGGCGTGCCGAGATGCTGAGGCTGTCCAAAGGACATGCCGCCCGCTGTCAATGTCTGAGGTATCTGACTGGGTTGGTACTGCTGTAGCTGAGGCGGCAACGCGTTGGGAGGGGTCTGGAAGGCGGCCTGATGCATGGCTGGCACGCCCGTTGGTTGCTGTTGCACCTGTACCTGCTGGGGCATCTGCATTCTCGCTTGCTGTTGCTGTTGCTGCTGTTGCTGATGTTGTTGCTGTTGGAGGTACTGCAGATTGCTATTGACCAGCTGATTGATGTTCTGCACGCCAGGTGAGTGTGGCACGGGTTGTGCGGGTGATCCAACGACCGCGCTCATTGGTGTGCCCATCATCTTTTGCATCGGCTGCTGTGTAGGCATTGGTGGGATGTTCTGAGGCTGCTGTGGTTGCTGACTCTGCTGTGGCGGTGTTTGGATTGGTACCGGAGCATAGATACCCTGCGTCTGCTGTTGGGGCTGTTGCGGCTGTTGCTGCACGGGCACTGGCACGGGCACTGGCATGGGCTTTGCCTGTGGCTGCTGAACGGGCAGAGGCACTGGGAGCTGAGGAGGCGGCTGAGAGTACTGTGGGTATTGAGAGAATGTTGGTTGTTGTGTTGGTGTCGAAGTGATCGGCGTGGATACTTGAGGCGTGGTCGGTGTCTGAGGTTGTTGTTGTTGAGATGGTGAGCCTGTTGCATTTGGTAGCAGATGCTGTTGTTGTTGATGTTGTTGAGGTATTGGTGAAGGTTGTTGCTGAGCTATGTATGTGTTGTTTGTTGTTGAGGAAAGTGTAGGTGATGGTGAACTAGTTGATACAATAGTAGTAGTAGTAGTGGGAGTATGTTGTTGTTGTTGTTGCTGTGGAGGTGTATTTGTATAAATATTATGTTGTTGTTGTTGTTGTAGTTGTTTGTTATCTGATGTTGGTGATATAGTACTATGTGGAGGAGTACTCATTGATTGTTGATGTTGTTGTACATCATCAGTTGATGTATCCTGCTGCTGATGCTGCTGCTGTTGCTTGAGGAACATATTGTTGTTATTGATATTGATAGCATTTGATTGATCTAATGATGATGTTGTTGCAACTATTGTAGGTGATACGTTATTACTGTTTATATTATTATTGATATTACTGCTATTGTTGTTATCGTTGGCAGTGTTGTTGATGTTGTTGTTGTTGCCGCCATCGATACTGTTGAACTCATTGTCTAGATCAGCAAGGCCATAGTCATCGTTTAATGAGCCCAGATCATCATTGTTCTTGAAGAGGTAGGCTGCAGTGGTGCCGTTGGCACCCAGTTCGTCATTGCTGTTGGCGTTCATCATTCATTCATACCTTTCGAGTTGATTGATTGAGTTGAATGAGTGAAATGAATGAATGAATGAAATGAGTTAATGAATGAATGAACCGCGCGCAAAGTTAAAGATTAATTAATATTGATAATATAATATAATATTTGAATGAATGACACAAAGGTGGTGAAGTTGAATGAATGATCAATAAATTGAATGAATGAATGAATGAATAGATCAAAGGTGATGACCGTCAATTCTAAAAATAGTTGTTGGTTATGTTTGATGCGTTCGTTCAGAGCCAGATCCAAAGTTGATGGGACAAGTCTAAGTCCGAATAAGGTGATGTTGGCCTCTACACACGAATACACGATTGTTGTTCGATGATCTTATGAGATTAGATAGGTAAGGATGGAGGGAGGGACCGATGAATGGGATGGGATGTTGTGTATGTGTGTTTGTTTGTTTGGTGTTTGTTGTGGTGGTTGAGTGTGGGTGGTGTGTGAAGATGGTGGGGGTAAAGTAGAATAAAAGAAGTTGTGTTGCCTGGGTCAGGTGTTGGAAGTTCCCAATAATTATCTCTATCAGTGTGCTTGAATGATTAACAGTAACATGTGCCCCAAGTGTGTGTTTGAATAACAACCACATGTTAATACTAAACTCGAGTTGCATTCATTCTTTCATTCATTCATACATTCAATTTAAGTATACATCAATACCAAATAAGTTTAGTCTGGACTCCTTTTGATGCAACAAGACCAACAACAACATGAACATGATGGAACCATTGGCAACACGACCAAACTCAGTGGCATCAGTGATGTAACACTGATATCTAAGGAATCAATGAATGATCGCTCAGATCCATCATTAGCAATAATGGACATGTACAAAGACAATCTTAAATCAACAACTCAATTACTTAATTCTACAACACTTAATGAATCAACGACGCCAGAGATGATCCAAGAATCCAAACATAAACGATCATATGAATTGTTGATCAAAGAACATAACGACCATGATGATGATGAAGACAGTATTGTCAATAGTAATAATAATAATGATTATTATAGTATATCAATTGGAACCAGGTCACTTGCAAACAAGATAGCCAACATTCCACAACAATTGTTTGAACACTTCATTGTAGTTGGACTATCCAACAACTCCAAGAGTCTTCCTAGGATTGGCAACATACACAAACCTGAGCTTCTATTCTATTATCCTCCCAACAGACCGTATGTTGTACAACTCGATCGATCACCTCAATCACTCACTCTCTTACATCGATCAATCAATCAATCAATCTTAGTGTACCACCCAAAGCACATGAGTTCTGCTTTCCAAATGGAATATCACCATTCTTGATCAAACGTACACCATCTTGTTCAAGCCTAAATGAACTACTATTTGGACAACAATATCTTCATTCACGTGAACACTTCTACACATTCATTCTCACTGGCGATCCACCACTCTATGGCATCTGCATTACCAAGCCCGAGCTCCTAAACACTATCCCCAACTTCTTCCACGACAAGTCACATTCACTGGAGAAGAAGCCAATCTACATTGCTATCCAAAGGAGTAAGTCTAAGTTACATGATTGAGTCATATGACAGTGTCAGCTGACCTCATCAATCAATCGTTCTCGTCCACGTGCAGGCTATTGTTTCCTTTCCAAGCTGCCACTGTTCCAAGCACACTTTGATGCATTGGTATACCTGTTGGCACAGGATAGATTGATAACAGTTACAAGAGAACTATGTTCATCAGAGCTCAATGAGAAGAAGGATAATGTTCGTGCAAGAAACAACAAGGACAACAAGACATTGCTCAGTCCTACATTGGACGCGAATGGATTACCGATATTGACAAGATCACAAGAGATTGATAAGGAGTTAAAGAGCTTCAGTAACATATTGGATAAGAATAACTTACTGGATGTGCTGCAATACTACATGGAGCAGACATGTCTTTCATCATCTGGAGAGCAACTCAAGTTCACATTCCCTGGTGAGACATTCATGAGGGAGTACACACTACCAGTATGTGTCAATCCTAGTCATGATCACTCCATGGACAATCACTCACTCATTCAATCATTCAATCAATCATAGGTTGGTAACAACATTGACGAAGTACATTCAAAGTATATCATTGAATGGGGAATGCTATCATTGCTCACAAGTCTTAGCCTAAAGACCATCACAACATTGTTGAGTGCGATACTCCTGGAACAAAGAGTTGTCTTTGTCTGTGATGATCTATCTCTATTATCTACAATTTGGTATGTTACTCAACAAGTTAGAGGATGGATATAATAATAATGCTCTTATGGCCACAGTCTATCAATGCACTCGATGATGCATCCATTTAAATGGCAGGGTCTGTTTGTGCCGGTTTTGCCACAGGCTTTGGTGGACTATCTCGAGGCACCAGTTCCATTCCTGGCAGGTGTCCAAGTGTTGAGGAAACAGACCTTTGAGGGTCTAATAGTCGATATCAAAGAGGACACAATCAACTTTAACGAATGCATACAGCCTCCAGACCTACCATGTTTAGACATACTGTATGTTTGAATGATTGGAATGATTGATTGGAATGTGCCAGACTTTCTAACAACTCCATACCTCACCGTCCTCACTAGTTTGGACGACATTACCCAGGATTATAACCTGTTGAGGAGTAGGCAGGACGATACATTGATCGATAATCCAATCAAGAGGACTCCATTGCAGATGGAGGTTACACAGAGAATATTCAATTCGATTAATGGTTATGTAAAGTGGCTGGTCGACACGATACAGAGTGGCTTTGTGGTCACTGAGGAGATCGCTGAGGACAGTCTAAAGATCGAGGAACTCAAGTCCAAGTTCATGGAAGGTGTACAGCCTCCCTACAAGCAGTTCGTGGCGCACCTTCTCCAGACTCAACACTTTTCACAGTATCTCCATTCCTACATGGTAGTACCTTCGACAACAACTCCCTATACGACTACCGCGACAACGACGACTGCCATTGACACTGAGACTGTGTCAGAGCAAGATCAAGCTGAGTAAGAGCAAGAGCGAGAGAATGATCATCCACAAGTCGAAGAGTAAACGAGCATCAAGACATGCTTGAGATTCATTCATTGATTAAACAACATTGGCAGTGACGATGTAGTCCAAGAGTGGGAAGTTCTTCTCTAAGTATGGGTTGCCCTCGCTGTAGATCTCTGTTTGATCAGGTTCCTCACCATAGCCAGAGTAGAAGTCCATTGTGACGTTGAATCCCTTGGTGATGATGCCGAATGGCACGAAGCCCATGGCATCGAGTCGCGAGTTGTTGACATAGTTGATAAAGAGTTGAGTGGTGCGGCAACAGGCCATGGTGCCATTCATCTCGGCGGCGTATGTGACGGTGCCGGGCAAGTTCGATTGGAAGATGGGGTCGTCGGGTATGGTGATGTTCCACTTCTCACTAATCTCTGGTGATCCGCTGATGCCCCATTGCGCAACGAATGGTGTAGGTGACTGAATCACTCTAAAGAATGCGTTCTCATTGTAGTACTCTGATTGAACCAACTGATAAAAGTGATCAGCTCCATTAGGTGCCCATGATCTATTCACATAGAGGTTGAATGATCCTGTTGTTGTTTGTGTTGTTGTTAGTAACATTCATTCATTCGTTGACATGATCGTTGGTTGTTAAGCATACCTTTGGTAGTTGTGAAGAGCACATTGAAGCTGGCTGGTGCTGTTTGGTAGGCTGAGGACACAATGGCCAATGACAGACAAGAAAACAAGATCAACAAGTTAGATGTAGTATACATTGTTATTACTATTATTATTATTTATCTTAAGATGTAAGATTGAAAGATTGAAAGTTTGATTGAGTGATCACTGTGAGGAGGCCATTGTTTGGAAAACTTGGTCAATCACTTTTTGGCTCTCTGGAATCATTCCAATCAAATCAATCAAAAACAACATAATGAAGGAAGGATTGTATACAATAACAACGTCCATCACAACTAACTTTAGTTGAACGTGTTCTTTAGTCGCTGTAGATACTTCATAGAGGATTGATCCACTTGAAGTCGTGATAGGATATCCATTACACGGTACTTTGTGGCAAGAGAATGTCGACACTCTTCATAGGCACAGAAGTTCCCAAGGGAGAACAGTAGGTTCTTTGTCAATGCCCTGCTGCCAAGTTGTTCCAGCATGATACCCATCGTATCACTATTGATAAAGTGTTGACACAGGTAGTTTGAATTCCTAACCAAGTTACCAAGTGCACCAGCCACGTTCGACCTCGTCTTCTCCTCCTCCATCTCATCAGACAGTATCATGTTGAGTGACTCTATACATGGCTCCAAGTCCCTATACAGCTCGTCCGAGTGGAAGGCAGCATTACCAATGGCAAAGCATGCAAACTTGCGTGTGTTCGAGTCAATGTCGCTACATCTATCGATCAGTATCGGTATCACTCCACTCCTATTGTATGGCGGATTGATGTGGTTAGTTTGGCGATGAAGGGGACGGAGAGAGTGATACATACGACTGTATTGGCTTATAGAAGTATGAGTTATATTTGAACAGGTTGCCAATGAGGTTACAGGTCTTGGAACGAACGCTGGGGTCATTGTGGCTTAGTAGACGACCGAGCCAGAAGTAGAAGTCAGACTTGTGCAGCAGTCGATGGTAGTCTATTGACAGACGTGCCAATTGACTAAGTATTAACAATGTGTCTACAATTATAACAATTGGATTCCTGATGGTTTGAGGAGGGTCAGTGATCGATCGATCAATCAGTCGAATGATAACTTGTAATCCATACCTATCAGTGTTGAGTAATAGTCCAATGATCTGTGGCTCCAGTCCACCATTGTCCACATATTGCTGGGCGAATTGAGGGTCTTCCAGGATGAGAGTGGAGAGAAGTCCTAGTGGGAGCTCGACCAACTCCATGGGCAGTTGAGGCAGCAGTAGGATCATGTTCTTGATGAGTTCGTACTCAAACATGATGTGTCTGATCAGTTCAAATAGTGGAGCATTGGATTGTTGCTGATGTGCACTACTGCTGTTGTTGTTGTTCTTGGCGTCGGGCAGATAGAGTATAAAGATGATCTGAGATACTAGTGAGCACAGGCCGTTTGAGCCACCAGATTGGATCGATGGCCACTCCTTCAGCTTGTCCAGATGCATTGGTTGCAGGTGACTACAAAGTGATACCAACAGATTGTTTTTGACCAAGTAGCTTATATGTGAGCTGCTCTTGCGCAACACCTCATACACCACCCTCAGACAATACACCAATCCCATTGGCGACAACTCAAACTCGCTCGTTAAGTTATTGATCTGATGGCACAGTGTCTCCCATACTCCAGACTCTAAAAGGTCTTCCAAGAATGTTTGATCATTCTTTGTTTGATTGATTGAGTTAGTAAGTGGAATGATTCCATGTCTAGTCTCATCTTTATACTTACTCTCTTGATCAGTCGCAGCAGGATGCAGGCACATCCATCAAGCATTCCAAGATAGGGTCGGCCCATGCAGCCTCCCTCGATGTCCCTTAGGGTGCTTCCTTCGACGCGCTTGGAGCCAAACAACTTCCTGATGTTCTTGATTGGAATGACAGCGGATACGGTGTTGATGGCGTTGGTCAGCTGCTCCATGTTGGCAATTGCATCGTTCTTCTCAATGTTGATGGACTCTGTAAGGAACGAGCCGATAAAGTATGAGGCGCATGACGATAACACCAAGTCTGCCGAGACAAAGTACCTGGATAGGATGGTCTCCAGGCTGTATCTGATTATCCATTCGACAGTGTCTGGTATCTGCATCAATATGGTCCCCAGTGAGAGCAGGACCAATGATTGAATGGTCGCTGGTGTATGGGTGGGCGCTAATGAAGAGGTCGAGAGTGTCAATGGATACTCAAGGTAGTAGAACAGTGAGTGCTTGGCCCTGTCTACATTGGGCGGTGATAGTTGCGCAAGGATTGAACGTTCTTCACGATTGATCAGTTCAGCGAATGAGCTGGACGCGCGACTACAATGTAGGAACAGTTGTAGGATGTAGTATCGAGCGTCCTCTCTCATGGACAGTGAGTCGTAGAGCCAGTGGATCATCTCCTCCTTTGCAAGTGTGTCGCCAATGATGTTGCATGCCGTCTGATAGATCAATGTGTTCTGATTGGGAGTCATCGATGATGTGACACGGTAGGCACCGAGTGGGAACTCGTAGATGTTGGTCGGGGAGGTGAACAGGAATGATACCAAGCATTGTAGCAATGACATGAACACAGTGTCATCGTCATTGTTTAACTTTACATCACTGATACTCAAGCTGGCTAAACTATTCGTCTCGACAAGCTGTACAAAGTAGTTGCAAACATAACGCAGTATGTCAGTGTTATCCATTATCCTCTTGTACAAGTCGCTGAGATGTGTAGGTGATTCGCCAATCTTTCTAAAGAATGTGGACAGCAACTAAATGATTGATTGATTGATTGAGTGAGTGAGTGAGTGAGGGCAGGCAAGGAGGGCTGGGAAAGGAACATACATTGATGATGGCACACTTGTTAGATCTGTCGAACTGTTCGATGTTCTTGGTCATGTGATTGAAGATTGAGAGTAGCAATGAGGTGGATGAGTGATTGGATGAGGCAGAGGACTTGCGAGACTGTGGAGGGAATTGAAAGGCTATGAGTGCGGATGATGGCGATGAAGGGTAGTTGACGCTGACCATCTGTGATGTGGCCAAAGGTGGCGATTGCTGCAGGAGAAGTGCCAGACATCCAAGACACTCCCGCAGTAGATCCTGTTGAAGCTGGAGATTGATACGCGTGCTGCAGTTTGGTCCTACGCTATTGTTTAGATCGATGAGTAGGTGTGACAGCAGATTGACAAAGGCGGTGAAGAATGTTCGTTTGAATAGCAGCTCGACATTGCTTGATGAGGCTGGTGTTGGGGGAAGGGAAGGCGGTGTGGATGGCGGCGACAGTGGCGGCGGGGCGCTGCCAGAGGGTGGTCGATAGTTGAGCTTGCCATGTGTGAGAATGTTGGAAAGAGTCTTGAGAATGGGCAGAAGGATGGGCTGTAGCAAATCGGCATAGTGCGATGAGTGCGCCCACTGTATGTGATTGAGTAGCTTCTGCAAGAAAAGACGGTCACGTCTGAGCATTGACGCGCCCTGCTCATTGTTTGCCGACTTGTTCTCTTGTTGCTGCCAGTAATCTGTGCTGTCAATGTTGTCCACGGGCGACTCCAGGTCGAATCGATCGAGGTTGACGCCCGAGGGCGTTGTGGGGGGACTGCGTATGACCATGGGCGCCATGTTTGGCGGGAGATAGGATGAGAAGTTGGTCTTGGAGGGCGTGGGCGGTCGATTGATCACGACCACCGGTGTCATTGGACGCATGCCGCTTGGGCTCGGTGTGTATCTACTCTTGTCCTGTCCTCGCGATGTTGGTGTGCTGATCGGATTGACCACAATACTCGGGTTGTTGTTGTTCAGCATGACCTGAGGTGTCTGTGGTCGCGTCACCTTGCCAGGAGATGCTGCTCCAACCGACTGCACAGTCGGGGATGTATATGGTTGCTGTTGATATGGCTGTTGCTGTTGCTGTTGCTGCGATGTGTCCACAACAGAAATAGGCTTCATTCCTAGGTATGGCACTATCTTTGGTGATGATCGTGTGTTTGAGATGCTGAACATGTCGGGTGAGGGCAATGACGCCTCGGTCGAGATGATGAGGGGACTGCCTGAAGAGGGCATTGGGATACCATTGCCGCTGCCACCACGCCTGTTCCTGCGATAGGACGATGGTTGAGATTGATTGATGGGGGAGGTGGGCAATGCTAGTGCGCCCGCGATGAATGGGTGTCGCAGCAGGTCGGGCCAGTTCAGTCGCTCCTCTGGATCCTTCGCGAGCAGCCCTTGCAGCAGCGAGGCAAAGTCTGATTGTGGGTGCAGTGTGGCAGGCAGCTTCAGAGACGAGTTGACAATCAGCTGCACGAGTGAGTAGAGGTTGGTTGAGGACCATGGTGGATGTCCCGCGTACAACTCGTACAGGATGATTCCAAACGACCAGAGGTCAGCCCTGTTGTCGTAGGGTGTCTCTTGCACCACCTCTGGCGCCAGATATAGTGGCGTGCCTTTGATCGTCGTTGACATTGGCGTGTTGGCACTTGGTCCGCCTATGAACTTTGCAAAGCCAAAGTCACATAACTTCATGGCGCCATCGCATCCAATCAATATATTCTGAGGTTTAATATCGCGATGTATAATCCTATTTGAATGAAGATAATGCAATGCCAGCAATATCTGAGCGGCCACCTTCTGTATGAATGGTTCAGGTAATATCTTATCCTCCTTTATGATCCTATATAAGTCTCCCTAGAATGAATGATTGAGTGAGTTAGTGATTGATTGGAATCATTCCAATGAATGAATGATCACATACTTGAGCATACTCTGTTATTACACAGAACTCGTTTGATGTCTCGAAGGAGTCGACTAGCTGTATGATGTTGGGATGTGATAGTTTCTTCAATATATCAATCTCTTGTCTTAGACTCTTTATATCCTTCTCCTGTTTGCCACTCTTTGATATACATTTGATAGCATATATCAATGAAGTATACTTCTTTCGACACTACATTAACATGATTGATTGAATCATTCATTGTTAGTATCCATCAATCAATCAATCATTCAATCATCCATTCAATCAATCAATGCAATCATACTTTATAAACTCTTCCATAGCTACCCTCACCAATCAACTCCATAACATGGTAGTCATCCATGTTTGAGTCAAGGTCAGTCTTTCAGTCAATCAATCAGTCAAAGTATATTATGTGTCTGTTTATAATGAATGTAAGTATCTACTATGATGATTGAATGAAATAATGAACCCCAATGAAGAGACAGAGATAATAATGAACTGTTCAAACACACACCCCATTCCAATCAACCAATCAAAACAACAGTTACATTATGAAGTTCTTATTAGCCGCTTGTAAGATATTTTTTTATTATTAACCATATCAAGATCGGACCAAAGATGGTCTTGTTGGGGTTCATATTGCCATGACATAGTGTGTGTGAACGGCAAGTTCAAATAAACCACCGCGCTGTCTAACTTGTAATAAGATGTGAGTCGATGGGCTAAACTACAACCTTTAGAGGTAGTTGCCCACAACTTATATTGAGCTTCTTCACCAGCTAGGCTGAAATTTCAACGTTGAATGAGGGAGTGAAGAGAAAAAGTGATGTTGGTAACACATACTTAAATACATAAACATAAATAAATAACTAACTATTATTATTATCCACACACATATATCATAAATAATAATAACAACAAAGAATAATAGTAATATTAATAATTAATTAGATATAGATAGATAGAATGAAAGCATTGATACTTGTTGGTGGATTTGGTACTCGTTTGAGACCACTCACATTGTCTGTTCCAAAGCCAATCGTCGAGTTTGCAAACAAGGCAATGATCCTACACCAGATCGAAGCACTATGCAAGATTGGCGTCAATGAAGTTGTCCTAGCAGTCAACTACAGACCTCAACTAATGTCTGCATATCTTGAGCCTTATGCACAAAAGGTACCTTATCTCATTCAATCATTCAATCAATCAATCACTAACATTGAATGAATGAACATCATTAGCTTGGTATCAAGATATCATACTCACATGAGACTACACCGTTGGGAACTGCTGGACCTTTGGCATTGGCCCGTGAGTTACTTAATGATGGTCAACCATTCTTTGTGTTGAATAGTGATATAATATGTGACTTCCCATTCGCTGACTTGTTGGCTTATCACAAGGCACATGGTAAGGAGGGAACTATCATGGTGACCAAAGTGGAGGAGCCCTCCAAATATGGAGTGGTCGTGTACAAAGAGGAAGATGGAAGCATTCAACGCTTCGTCGAGAAGCCACAACAATACGTTGGTAACAAGATCAATGCTGGTATATACATATTCAACTCATCAATCCTTGATAGAATCCAAGTATGTTTGATTGATCCATCGATTGATTGATCACAGTGACTAACAACAACTACCTTGTGAATCTATCCTTAGCCCAAACCTACATCGATTGAGAAGGAGATATTCCCAAAGATGGCAGAGGATGGACAATTGTACTGCATGCCATTGGAGGGCTTCTGGATGGACGTGGGTCAACCAAAGGACTTCTTGCTTGGTATGGGATTGTATTTGAACTCACTCAAACAAAAGACACCAGAGGTGTTGTCATCAGGCCAGGGCATCATCAGTCCAGTGTTGATCGATCCAACGGCAACCATTAAGCCCGGTTGTCTAATTGGACCAAATGTTACTATTGGACCACATTGCACTGTAGAGGAGGGTGCACGACTTATCAACACTACCGTGCTGGCTGGTGCAACTATTGGCAAGAACAGTTGGGTCAAGTCATCGATCATTGGATGGGAGTCGACCATTGGCAGCTGGGTACGAATGGAGAATAACTCTGTACTTGGCAAGGATGTACACATTGCCGACGAACTCTATGTCAATGGTGGCAAGATACTTCCGCACAAGTCAATCACATCATCCATCGAGACACCAGAGATTGTCATGTAGATACATCTCATTCATTCCTTCAATCATTCAATCAACCAAGTTGGTTGGAATAATCCCCAACCCATGTATCATCATGTGTCCACATCTCACTCTCTCTTGTCAGCCTCCATTGGCTTCATGTTAATAAACCCATCATTGTACAAAGACTAACATATATTGAGTATGATGATCTCCAAGATGACGAATCGCGAATGGTTGATTGCCCACAATTTCGCGGTGACATCATGATGAAGTTGATTGATTGTTTCATTTGTCATTGATTGATCACACATTCATACAAATACATATAACATTTAACATACATATACAGATAGATTACCAATGCTCAAGTCAAGCAACAGTGTACATTGGTCCAGGACACTGAATGCATGGAGAAGCATACGCTCATCATCCTCATCAACAACATCAACGTCATGTCCACTGTTGGTACGACCACTTCTACAAAGACATCACTTTGGTCGTGATGTACATAGTATACATAGATGTCCTGCATTGACAATGATCAATGTTAACAACACTTCATCATCATCATTGATGTCCTCGACAACAGGTCGAAGATACGTATACACACCGCCATCATGGGAGACAGACCTCCAGAAGAAGTTACAAGACACAGTCACCTCCACGCAAGAGCAGCTACAGGATGAGAAGGGGAAGGTATGTTAGGTAGTGTGATGTGCGACGATCACATCTGTCAGTGCACTGACTGACCGATCAATCAATTAATCATACATTAGAATCAACTCGAGGGCATCTTATGGGTCAGCAACTTGTACCCGATCAAGATATCAAGGCTGGACTTCCGGTCGTTGCTGTTCAAGATACCAATCACACAGAAGTTGATGGCCATCTTCCCAGAGGACATTGAAGTCATATCGATTGAGAAGCGACTGAAGGAGGGTGGCGCTTATGTGCACTTCCGCAAGAAGAACCCGGCAGAGGGCGAGACTATAGAGTCGCTGGCAGCAGAGCTCAGTCAGCGTTTTGTCGACGCCGACACACACTTCCACATGGCATCATCGCCCGCACGCGCAATACTCGTGCTTGGTCAACCGTTTGTCGAGGACATTGACGACAGACTGCCATCATTCATACTCAAAGTCTATTGCAAGGGCGCCGAGCTCAACGTAGACGACATATTCAGATTGTTGAGACCCTATGGCCACATTGTACATATCGAACGGCCAACAGAGACTCCAAAAGGTAACCTTTTAATGAGGCATCTCATCCACTACTTGCCGCTAACATGCACATCCAATCAATCAATCATTTATTAGATGGACAAAAGTATACACTTGTCGCGTTCTCCAAGGTGGAAGGCGCGATCGCAGCCAGGAACTGTCTGCACAACAAGTACTTCCCAGACCTCGGCACGACCTTCATCATGACATATGAGAGCATGAGAGTATGGACTACCACCCGCCATCATTCCTCATGTTACTCGCATCCGACACTAACCCTTACCCTTACCCTACCCTTAGACCATTGTAAAGATTAGAGATGTTATAACGAACAATCCCAAGTTCATGATCCCACTGATTGGTGTGTTGGCCACACTGATCACATTGTTCCTGTTCGATCCATTGCGCAAGTACTACATGAACAAGTCGCTGTCCACTCCGCTCTTCTTTGATGAGGTCGAGGAGTGGCAGACACGTTACGAGGAGAAGCTGCTCGACTCGCACTTCAACTACCCTCCCAACTCTATTGTGATGATCAGCGCGCCAAAGGGCAGCGGCAAGTCAAGTCTGATCGACAAGACTCTCGAGGGTCGTCAGAACACCCTGTTGGTGGACTGCAGCGCAGAGGTCAACAGCTCTGACGAGGAGTTCATCGAGAACCTGTCCAAGGACATTGGCTTCTTCCCATCGTACGGTCTGTACACCAACGCACTCGGCTGGATGGACGCCGTCCTGCCATCATCAGGCAAGGGTGGCCTACACCAGTCCACTGCCGGCCAGCTGCAGACCATCCTCAAGCTGCTGGACCAGTGTCTGGAGGAGAAGGCCGTCACCTTCCCTGAGGATCCACATCAAGCCTTCCCCTATCCATTGATTGTCATTGATGGATTCTTTGGTGCCATCTCCGCCATTGAGAGCAAGGAGAAGGCTCGTGCCATCTCAGACGCCGTCATCCAGTGGTCCATCACGACCACACTCAAGGGCAATGCCCATGTTGTATTCATAAGTAGTGATCCATTCGCCGGTGATGTACTAAAGAAGTGTATGTATCATTTAATCAATCGATCGATCAATTATATAACTAACAAGGCATGTCCTCGCGACCAATCATAGACTTGGAGAACAGAGGCGGACAGTCTCTTACAATTCACTTGGGCGATGTACCACCAAACAGCGCAAAGAACTATATTAGACATAGATTGGGAAGAGACCTTAGCGAAGGAGAGTACTCCTCAATCATTGATACGCTGGGCGGAAGATACTCAGACCTCAACTACCTCTCACAGCGCATGACATCGGGCGAGCCTGTCAGGGCAGTACTCAACTCGATGGTAGCCAGAGCAGTAGGCGACATCAGATCCGATGGATTCGGTCTGTCTAGAAAGGACGATGACAAGGGCAAGGGTGGCGTACAACTGAAATGGACGAGGACACAAGTGTGGGAAACGATCAAGCGTGTGGCGCAATCCAAGCTGGTCAGCTACGATGACCTGCTGTTCAACGTGTTCAACGGTGACGAAACGGCATTGAACAACATCATCACATCAGGCATCCTCGGCTTTAGCTCGCACAACAACGAACGAGTTGTAACGGCCTACTCACCACTATACAATGCAGCCTTCAAGCAGATGGTTGAAGACATTGAGTTCTGTGTTGGAATGGACATATTTACACAAAAGGCCAGGATCGATGAGGAGATGACAAAGTTGAACAAGGTGGAGGAGGAGCTCATCAAGCTAAAGACACTGTCGTCCAGCAAGTGGTTCGAAGGCGACACTGTCAAAGTCAGGCGACAGTTGCTCGAGGAGAAGATGATCGATCATGTGTCAAAGATTGAAGGTCGCGAGAAGATCCTACAGAACCATACTCAATTCCAAAAGTTCATCTCAACCAAAAAGACGCCCTCTACAGATCCAAAGGCAACCTATTGTAGTTCAGATGATGGTATGGCACAACATGCTGCTACCAGGGCATGAGAATAAATAACTAAAACTATTTATTTGAACTAATTAATTAATTTTGACAAATGATACTTTAGTAGTATTATAATTATGTTTATCTCTAATTCTAATCATTAAAGTTGATTGGTCAATTCTTTTACATGATAACCCACTGTTATCAAAAGTATAAGGTATAACTATTTCTGAGATATGATTATTAGAGATCATTTTAAACAAGTTTGTAGCTAATTGCTTTGTATCACTACTTGGTCTATTGAAATGAAAATAAGGTAATTCCAAAATGAATGGTTTTGAACTAAATTCTGGTATCCTTCCAATTATACTAACTATATCATCATAGCTTGAATAATAGAAACTTATCCTTTCAAATTGTTGTAGACCAAATTTGGATTGAAGTAATAATAATTGCTCAGTATTATTACAATTTAAACGCAATATCTTTAGATTATTTGGAAGGCAAGCAACAATAGGAATTTCCAAGGCATATATTTCAAGGTATTCAATTGAATTTGGAAGTAGACAATATCTAAATATCTTTGAATATTGTGAAGGTAAAGTAAGAGATATTAGCCCTTCAGGGAGCACTCCAGGAAGAATATCTTGATTAAATGGTTGTCCTATGATGAGTGTCCTAATTGAAGTAGGTAAAACATTTAGTCCAATGTGATGGTAATAACCTTTGATTGATAAACTGGTGAGTTGATTTGGAAGAGAAAAAGGTTGAAGTATTAAGTTTGAACGATAAACTAGAGATCTCAAAGAGTTTGGTAATAAACCTAGTGGAAATCTTTTGTTTTCAAATATAGAAGATGAATGATATTGGAATACCAATGAAGTTAGAGTGGGAGGAAATTGATTTGTTAATTCTTCATATCTTTTAAAACAGAGATTGAGATATGTCATAGAAGGAGGGAATATTTGATCCTCACCTTCAGCAGTTTGATTCATAGAGATAGTCAAGTTATCAATTAAAGGAGGAAGTGATTGTATCCAAATTTTGTTGAATCCAAAATGATCAGAAACTGTGAGTTGTTTCAAACCCAAAGGAAATACTTCTGGTGACAATAGTATATTTCGATCCCGATGACCATTCCTATATTTGATTGAAAGGGATGTCAAAGTTGATGGTAAGACACCTTGTATTATATCTGAATTGTCACTAATTATATAGAGGGTTGAAAGACCCTTTGGAAATGATCCAACTGTGAATCCAATCATATCTAAATTCATATCAAAAAAATTTTCATTGCCAATAATAATTGATTTTAAAGTTTTTGGTAAGACATCTATTCCAATTGGAGATATATCAAGTGCCTCCAAGGTCTCCAAGTTGGATGGGAGATTCTCCTTGTTCAGAATACCATAATACCTTCCAGAAAAATGAACTTCTTTGATACTATTAGGTAAAACACCTGTATCTAAAGTTTGATAGAAAAATGGTCCAAAATGTATTATTTTAATAGTTTGAGGTAATTTCCATTGATTGAAAGGTTGATGGAAAGAATTTCCAAAATATATTGAACTTAGTGAAGGTGGAAGTTTATCAAATGATATTGGACCTTTGAATCTATCCATATATAATTCAGATATAGAAGGGGATAATTTTTCTGGATCAAATGAAGTAATATCCCTTAAATTACATTTTGTACAAAATGTTGATTCAAATCGAATAAGTATCTTTTGAACAATTGGATATAGTTTCTTACATGTAAATGATAAACAAGAAAGATCAGAATAGAATTCAAGTTGATCCAATTTAGTGGTAGGTCTGAAATATTGACATATATTATTTATTATTAAATATGGTAAGTTATCCATTATTATTATTATTTATATATATAAGAGTGAAATGGAATGAAACAAAGATGTAATATTAATTTATTAAAGGTGGTGAAGTCCAAAATTGTCATTTGTTTGAATATAATTGACATAATTATGCTCCAATCATTGTCAAGATATATTAATAAGGAATCTATATTGTTGTTGTCAAGTCACATTAATGCACCAGCACCAGTTGTTTCAAGTCATTCATGTTTTACAACAACAACATCAACAAATAGAAAGACAACCACAATGACTTTGAAGAATGTACTCGTACCAATCGCTGATGGCTCAGAGGAAATAGAGACATCTATCATCATTGACGTTCTACGCCGTGCAGGTGCCAATGTTGTTGTGGCCAGTGTCTCTGATAACTTGGAAGTACGTAGTAGGTCTACCATCATTCATCAATCTATCAATCTATCAACGAATGAATGTTTGAATGAGTTGCTGACGTTTCAACATCATCATCATCATAACAGATAGTGGCATCTAGGAAGATGAAGATTGTGGCTGATGCACTATTGAAGGATGTTCACAACAAGCATCAATGGGACCTAAGTACGTTGAACCAATCAATCCTCGAGGGTCCAACTACTTTATACAGTAGACTAACTAACTCATTCGTTGTGAACACGCACGTAGTCACACTGCCAGGTGGAATGCCCGGCGCTGATAATCTATCAAAGTGTAGCACATTGATCACTTTGCTCAACAATCAGAAGGAATCAAACAGATTGTATGGTGCGATATGCGCTTCACCAGCTGTTGTACTGGCTCAACACAACCTGTTGAATGAGAAGGCCACTTCATACCCTTCACACATGGAGAAGCTTGGCAACAAAGCCGTTGCATCAAAGGATCAACGAGTTGTTGTCGATGGCAACTGTGTCACCAGTCAAGGACCTGGCACATCATTTGACTTTGTCCTTACCCTTGTCCAACTACTCTATGGAGAGGAGAAAGCAACAACAATTGAGAAAGGATCTCATTGTTTGATTGAAGGATCATTCAATCATAGTTGTTGGCGGATGCCTGGCAACACTCACCACTGTACATTAAAGCATCATCATCATCACATTGATTGATTCGTTAGATAGAGATAGAGCTTTATTGCTTTGAACGAGGCGATACGATGCGGTGCGAGAGGTTATATTAACAAGCTTGTGTGTATAAAGGGTAACCAAGGCAGTCCTTACTTCTTGGACTTCTTTGGCTTCTTCTCCTCCTCCTCCTTGTCGGCCTTCTTTGATGATGACTTCTTGGTCTCCTCCTTGGTCTCTTCCTTCTTTGATGATGACTTTTTGGTAGACTTCTCCTCCTTCTTTGGCTCCTCAACAGCCTTCTTTGACTTCTTCTCTGACTTGGCGGCTGGCTTCTCATCAACCTCCATTGCGTCCTCATCTCTCTCCTTTCTCTTTGAAGACTCCTTCTTTGATGACTTTTTGGTCTCCTTCTCCTCCTCCGACTCCTCAGACTCGACGGCTGCCTTCTTTGATGAGGACTTCTTGGTCTCCTCCTTCTTTGGCTCAGCCTTCTTTGATGACTTCTTTGACTCCTTTGGCTTCTCCTCCTCAATCTCCTCGTCGGACTCCTCCTTCTTGGACTCCTTCTTGGTCTTCTTTGAGGACTTCTCAGACTTGCTGTCGTCCAGCGAGCGCTTCTTTGATGGGGTGGTGCTGGCACTGCCAATGCCAAAGTCCTTCTCGACCTCCTTGATGACCTCTCTCATGACGTCGAGGTTCCTCTTGGGCGACACACCAGTGTTGAAGAACTCCAGACGATCCTCCACCTGCTTCTTGAGCGACAGACCAAACTTGTCGGTCGGGGTCTCGGAGAAACAATCGATTCTTGTGGCCGACGCCACCTTGTTGGCGAGACATCTCGAGATTCTACCCTTGTTCTTTGGTGTGGCCTTGCTGATGAAGGACGAGTTGTAAATGATACCATACTTGGGAGTCTTGCCACGGACCTTCATGGCACGGAACAGAGCCTTCTCGGCACCGAGAATCTGGATGGTGGAGGCGGGGTACTTGGCAAGGTTGGTGAGGGAACCGGCACGCGAGATCAGCTTGGCACCGACACGGTCGCCAATGAGGGCCTGGAGGTTGGGGGCAATGTCGCGCATCTTCTTGGTGAGATACTGCTCCAGCGACTCTCTGTACTCGTGCATCGAGATGACACGATCGGCAAACGACAGGATGGACTCGAGATCGATGGTGGAGATGTCAGTGCCCATGGAAGCCTTGGCGGCGTTGTAGATGTCCTTGGCGAGCGACTCGTCGTCGACGATCTTGGCAATGTCCTCGACCATGCTCTCCTTGATGTCGGTCTTGTTCTGAATGAGCTTGATCAGACGGGCAAAGTGGATGTTCTCCTTGACGATCTTGATCATCTCGGGGAAATGCCACGAGTACCACTCGCGCACTCTCATGTGATACGTGTTGAGATCCTTGTCGATCTGCTCCAATGTGCAGATGGCCTGAATGATCATATTGTCCACCTTGTGTACGTTGAACTTTACCTTTGATCTCGAGTAACTGTGACCCAGACCAAGTTGTGCCTTAATAAGATCTCTATCCTTCAACTTAATAAAGTCGCTAATGTGATATCTAATGCAACGAATGATGTCCTGTTTGAGTAATTGATTTAGATTGATTGTGATAATGATTGATTGAGTGATTGA